CCTCCAGTGTCGCTGTTCGGCGAGGGGCTGCGGCTACGGCCGCTATCGGCGGACTGCAAGCGGCGGTGGCGCATGGAGATGGGGACGATGCTGTCCGTGTGCCAGCACATCGTCGAGCTCGTGCCGCACACGCAGACCATGCCCGACGGCTCCACGCAGGAGGTAATGCGCTGGGGGGGGGAGGGAGAAGGGGAATGGCGGATTAGGCACGGCGCGTGCTGGGGTGGTCCCGTGTGCCCCGCGCATGCGCGCTCTACGGTAACCTAGGGCCCGCGCGCATGCTCCTTCCGTCGCCCGCGCCTCGCCGTGCCATCTCCCTCCCTAACGTGCTCTCGTCCGCCCAACCCGGTCCCCGCTCCCATTCTGCTCCCTCTCCCTACGGTGCTCTTCCTTCATCGTTCACCCTACCCCTCCCTCCCCGCGCGCCCCTTCCCGTTTGATCACCACCATCCCCTGCATCGCCATCGCGGTCCTTCATCCTGATTCCGCACGCCCCCCCGCATTCCTTCCCGCCGCATACATACGCGCTGCCCGCAGGTGATGGTGACGAAGCAGCGCGACGACATGAAGCAGCAGCTGCCGGCGCTGAAGAAGCTGGACGACATGCTGCTGGAGATGCTCGACCAATGCACCTCCACCGAATACACCTACCCCAACGAAAAGCCCCCCACGCCCCACCGCGCCAAGCCCGACCCGTCCCCCAACGGCGCCGTGGAGAGGCGGCGCAACAGCAGGCACGCGGACGGGTGCGCGTGCGCGGAGTGCAGCGGGGAGGACGCGGGCGAGGGCGGCGGGAAGGACCGCGACCACCACCGGACGCGCTCGGAGTCGTTCGGGCACAGCAGCAAGGCCAAGTCCTCCGCCGCGCGCAGGCAGGCCAGCTTCGGCGGAACCAGCTCCGCGGGGGGGGACGGCGCAGGGGGGAGCGCGAGCAAGAGCACGTCTGGCGGGGGGGGCGTGATGAAGGAGTCGAAGACGGGGCGGTGGTGGCGGCCGGTGCCGCGGGTGGCGGCGTGTGGGTTGAGTGAGGAGCTGAGGCGCAACTTGGAGCACGCCATGGAGAAGTCCAACCAGGTCGTCAAGCTCGCCATGGCCATCAACACCCAGGCGCTCGAAGACATGGCCGTGCCCGCTGCCTACACCGACAACCTCCCCAAGGTCCGCTCCCCGCCCCTCCCCGCCCCTCCCCGCCCCTCCCCGCCCCTCCCCGTCCCTCCCTGCCCTGCCTCGCTGCTGCCACACAGCACCACCTGCACCGAGCACCATGGCTGGGAACCATGCCGCACAGTTTGAAAGCTCTGAACCATTACGAACCTATCCCCGTCTCACCTCTCACTCCCGCACTTCCTTCCCCCCAATGGTTCCCCGGTGGCACGGCAGTCGGGCAGGGCGGCGCTGGGCGACCAGCTGTACGCGCTGATAGTGGGCACGGCGTTCAGCGTGGAGCGCGTGGTGGACACCGTCGACCTAACCGATGAGCACGCCGCCCTCAAACTCGCCTGCCGCCTCGAGGCCGCCTGCTTCCACTGGCGCCGCGCCACCCACACCTCCAGGTCAGCGCGCCACTCAGGGACCGGGAGGGACCGGGGCCATGGGAGTGGAGACGGGAAGGGCTGCTTGCACAATCTGGTTGATTAGGCATTCAACTGGAATCACTAGCAATCCAGGGTAGCATTTGGTCCACTTTCAGAATTTCTAGGGTCAAGTACCTTCATACTGTAGACCCCTAGTGACAAAGTGGCTTAAGTCGGACGAACTTGAGTAGCAGTGGAGGCCGTTCTGTTATGGGCCACACTTTCTTCCATTTCCTCCCCCTTTCCACCCTTCCCCTCTTTTCCCCCTCCAGCCCTCTCCGCTTCCAAGAATGCCAATCGTTCTAGACTGTAGTGCTTGTGGGCGGATTCTGAATGCACCACAGTTGACGCCAACCAGCTGTTATATACTGCACATTTGACTGCACAAGTGTCAAGCCGTAGGTTCTGCTCGCCAGTGCACCAAGTGCCGCAGCCACATGCCCTTCCCATCCCTCACCCTACCCGCTGTCCCCTGCGCCTCTCTGTGCATGCATGGCAGAGCCCCGCAGCTGACGCATTCGTTCAGTGCGCACTACTCGACGGGCCCGTCAGCGCGCGACATTTCCAAGTTTGAGGAGTACGCCAGCCGTGCCGAGGCGTGTCTGCGCAGCATCAAGGACCGCTGCCCCGCTCTGCCGCAGACCACGCTCGACACCAGCAAGATCCTCTACAACTCCGTGCGTGCTGGGGGGGGGAGGGAGGGCGCCACACATGCCAAGGGTGCCACGGGTGGGATGGGTGGAACGGGTGGGACGGATGGGTGGGAGTGGCAGGGTGGTAGGTGGCGAGAGCATTGCAGCGCATGGTGCAGTGACGGTGGATTCCGTGCCTGTTCCTGGCCACGGCGCATGACCACCAAGTGGTGCAACTGCAACCCTTCCACTCACCTTTCACTCACTCTCACCCCCATGCCCCTCCCTCTCTTGCCCACTCTCCCCTCGTGTCATCACGTGTACCCTACCCTCGTGCGGCGGTGCATGGCAGGACGTGGGCAAGGCGGTGTTGGAGAGCTACTCACGCGTGCTGGAGGGAGTGGCCACGTCCGTGCGATCGCGCATCAACGACGTGCTGCACGCGCACCACCTCGCCTGCGACCCCTCCGCCGACTCCCCCGCCGCCTCCCCCGCGCACTCCGCCACCCCGGGCAGTGCGGCAGCGGCGCAGGGAGTGGGCAAGGCGGGCATGGGCATGGGGCCGGTGGGCGGGTGTGAGCGGCTGCTGGACTTCAACCTGCAGCTGTCGGAGCTGGCAGCGCCTGACTATGACGAGGCGGCCAGTGAGATGGGCACGCCTGTGGGCACGCCCACCAGCGGTGCTGCGGGCAATCCTCTGGAGTTCCGCCAGCACAGCCTGCCGCTGCGCTTTGGCCTGGAGGCGCGCATGCAGATGGAGGCGCGCGCCGCCATGGACGCCGCTGCTGCTGCCGCCGCTGCTGCTGGCGCTGCCGCGGGTGCTGCTGGTGGGGGAGGGAGAGGCGACGGGGGCGGGGGGAGAGCGGGCACTCGTAGTGCGTCACACCTGGGTGGGGGGCATGCAGCGCACCCTACCGGTGCAGGCAGTGGGGGTGCAGGTGGGGGAGCGGGAGATGGAGGGGGGTCAGGCAGCCCGAGCAATGGGCCAGGCATGGTGCCTCTGATCCGCTCCAATACCTCCCCCACGCAGCGCCCGTCAGGGGGCTATGACATGTCAGGCATGACAGCAGCGGCGGCAGCAGCCCATGCGCAGCAGTACATGTATGGCATGCGAGGCCCCTCCCCCATGAACCCCTACGCCTCACAGCCGGCAGCGGGCGGCAGGCCCGGAGCAAGCAGCGCAAACGCAGCGGCCATGGGTCAAGGGGGGCCGGCAGTGGCAGCGCAGGCAGCTGCCCTGCAGGCACAGGCGCAGGCAGCGGCGGCGGCGGCAGCAGCAGCGAGCAGCCGGCTGCATCGGTCCAACTCGTGGAAGGGCTTCCTTCCCCGCAGGACTGCTGCACCCCCTGCTGCTGCTGCTGCCCTGCAAGCCCCTGTGCAGGGTGCAGGCGCTGCAGCAGGTGGTGGTGCCGGGGGCTTGGCTTACTCTGCCGGTGGGTTCTCCTCCGGTAGCTTCTCCTCCCAACCACCCGTGGTAGGGGGGGGCATGGGCACGTATGGGGGCTATGGCATGGGGTATGGCGGAGGGGATGTGGTGGGAAGAGCAGGATATGTGGGTGTGCAGGGGCAGGCAGGGACGTATGGGCCGGGTGGTGGGGGTAGCGGGAGCAGCAGCAGCAGTGGAGGGGGAGGGGCTGGAGGAGGGAGTGGGCCGTTGCCTCCGCATGTGCCCAAGGGAGGATCGCGCAGGCAATCGGCAGCAGAGTGTGTTGATTCTTAGCCCTACCCTACCCGTGCACACTCCGTGCACCTCCCTCCTCGCCCCACACCTCCCTTTCAGAACAGCGCCCAGCTTGCTTGAGCAGCTCCTGCCTGCACGCTGCAATTACGTATTATTGTAGGTTCTTTCTCCCCGGCCTGTGCTGGGGAACTCTGTGATCTCCTGTTCATCCTCTGACTCGGCTATAACATAGTTGCCACCAGCCAGGGAGAAAACATGACAGTAATGTAGGGGATCGTGCGTGTACTGTAGATTTTTGGGAACTGTTGCACTGCAGGGAATTGTGTACGGAGTGTTGTTGAGTTTAGATTCCGAATTATACACCATGCTCCACCTATGGTAAAGATAGTTGCAGTGTGGGATCCTTTGATCCACTAGATGGGCATTATTGCTGAATGTTGTGATTGTGGTGGATAATGAGAAAGGGTCAGGTCAGGCTTCACATGCTCCATTGTGGATGAATGAAGAATCTAGCTAGGAGACTGTTATTGGAATACGGTACACTGTAGCTACTAGTAGTGGAAGCCTCACCTTCCCATCCTTGTACGTTCAAGATGTGTTTCATATCTGTCATACAGTTAGTGGATAATAATTGCAATATGTCAATGCAAACTGCCCTGGACGGACAATATGACAGGAATGTAAGGGCCTGCTGTATTCGATAAGTGCATTCAACCACTATCAGATCTGGTGTCAGAGATCGTATTTTCCGTTAGCAACGTTTGGACTGGCATTTCGGGCTCCAATCAAATCTCTCTCATCCGCGCGAGTGAGGTCGAGAGGAAGGCTCGGAGCAGTTGGTTGCTTTCACGTGCCCGCCTCACCGCGCGCACACTTGGCGCGAGGCACGGGGTCGCCACCACCACCGTCGCGCTCCACTTTCCGCCACTCCCCGCCCCTCCGCAATCGCAAGGCCCTTCCCTTTCGCTCCCCATCTCCCCCTCCTGCTCGACTTGCTTGCCGTACCACTTTGCCTTCTGCTATCACTTATCACGTGATTCGTTCCCACGTTCACCACCTTTAGGAGCTTCAACCTGGGCCGGTACCGATTCATTTTCGATGGCAGCAGAGAGGATGGGAGGTCGATCTCCGCGGTCCCCGGGCGTGGTGGAGCGGTGGACGGTGGAGGTGGGCAAGGACACGCATCGCCTGTTGGAGTTCGTGCTGCAGGAGCCGGAGGTGGCGTCGCAGCGAGTGTCGCTCGTGCTCGTCTACGTTATGAGCGAGGTCCCCTGCGCCAGTGAGTGCGACGCGCTTGCTCTCCTCGTCGCCGTTAACTCGTTTCGTTGTATCGTTTACATTTCAACCCCTCTTGCCGTCCACCCAACGCCGCGCTGCTGTTTCCCGCGGCTCCTCTCGTTACACCATGAGGCGCCTTGAGTGCACCGCTGGCCGACCCTAGTTGACCAGGAGCGCGTCTTAAGGACAGCGTGCCGTGCGCTCTTCCACGTGGCTGTGTGCGCGCAGTGGGCATATCGTATAACGTGAGTCAGCTCGAGTCGCGCGTGGCGGACATTCACGAGGCGCACGTGATGGACACTATTCTCAAGCCGCTCGTCATGGAGCTGCACTTCAAGAAAAAGGTCCCACCGCAACCCCTTTCGCACTCCCGCGCGCCCTCCCGCTCCCTCGCATCTCCGTGTCTCGCTTCCCTCACTGACTCGATAGCCTTCGCTCTTTCCCCCCTGCTGCGTCGTTATTCCCCGCCGTCATTCACGGCCATGCTCTCGCCGCATTCCATCCCTCTGCGGGTTGCTTCACTCCCCGCAGCTCGTCGCCACAGCGCACGTGGCGCGAGACGACAAGCCGGACGTGGGGCTGTGTCAGGCCGCCATTCGCGTGGGGGCGTCGCGGCTCGTGGTGAACTCGCGGCACTCCTTCCTGCGCCCCAACCACAGCTTTGCGCACGGCTGCGCGCGCCATCTCGCGCCGCACCACTGCTCCGTGCTCGCCGTCACCACCGCCAAGAAGCGCCCGTCCTCCGCCGCCTTCGTCCTCCCCAGCGGCGCGACCATTCCCGCCGTCCAACCCTCCCCCTCGCGCCTCTCCACCTCCTCTTCCACCTCCTCCTCGTCGTCCTCCTCCGCATCCTCCCTCGTAGGCTCTCCGCTCCACCCCCCCGCGCTTACCCGCGATCAAGATTCCGCCATCGCGCAAGCTCCCACGCCCCCCCGCGATCCCCTCTCCACCTCTCCGTCCCAGCCGCAGTCTCGCCGTCGCGCGCAGGTGCACGGGCAGGTTGCGCGGGCGTCGGGGGGCAACTTGGAGGCGGGTGCGCGGCTAACTCCGCGCCACTCCTCGTCCGCCTGCGCGCCCTCCGTCATTCCCGCGTCTCCTGACCATCACCTTCACAAAGCTTCGCAGCAGCGATGGGGAAGGCCGATCAACGGGGCAGGGGGGGAAGCTGTGGGGGGGGATGGTGGGGAAGGAAAGGGGCGCGGGGGAGCTGAGCCGGCGCGGGAGATGCACGCATCAGCACGAGGGGGTGGCGTGGGGAGCAGAGAAGTGGCGGTGTCTAGCTGGGCGGAGAGACAGGCAGGGGCGGCCGTGGTGGAGGGGGGTTACGCGCGGAGCGAGGGCGGGGAGAGTAGAAGGTCGGCGGTGGATGAAGCAGCGGAGGCATGGACGGGGAGCAGCAAGGGGGCGAGGCGAGGGCGAGGCGCATGCAGGGAGAAGGAGAGAGAGAGTGAGAGCGATAGCGAAATGGTGAAGATGCGACAAGAGGTGAGACACGGATTTTGGCTCCTTTATCTCTCTCTTTCCCCCTCATTCTCCTCAACTCACCTCCCTTCTCGTTTGATTCAACCCTTGCCCTCCTGCCTGCCTCCCGCTGTTCCTGCGCGCCCGTCTGTCTTCCACCTCCCCATCCTCGGCCGTCTCTGTGTGGCTTCAAGAATTAACTCGCATGCGTGCTTTGCCACCTGCTCCTCTCTCCTTCCTCTTCCCGAACCCCCTCCCCCTCCCTCTCCCCCCCTGCGCGCAGCTGCACGAGGCGCGGTGCATGGTGCAGCAGCTGCATACAGAGGTGGACATGGCGCGCGCAGCAGCAGCAGAGGCAGTGGCGCTGGCAGCAGCAGCGCAGGGCGAGAGGGAGATGCTGCAGTACGAGTTCCGCGAGTACTCGCTGCACCACCTGCACACCGCCACCGACGGCTTCAGTGAGCAGCGGCTCATCGGGCAGGGCTCCAGTGGGCGCGTGTACCGGGGGGAGATCAACCACACGCCAGTCGCCATCCGCCGCCTTGACGACTCCCTTGACTCCGCTCTGCATGAGTTTGACAAGGAGGTGCGCCGTTCTGCCGCTCGCCCACACAGCTCTGCTGCTCACAGCGCAGTGAACCGGTTTTTCTGGTCCTTGAACCTCTCGGCGTCTCATCCTTTTCCCGCGCGCTGCTGCGCGATGCAATGCACACGCACAAGTTACTACTGCAGCCGTGTGTGTTGCTTACATAGTGCTCAGCTGCCCCTTGTTCACAACCTCTGTGCGTCCCCTTGCCCACCACCACCCTCACACCCCCCCCCCCCCACCCCCAACCCATGTGCAGGTGCGGCTGGGCAGCAGGCTGCGGCACCCCAACATAGTGCTGCTGCTGGGGTGCTGTCGCTCGCCGCCGTGCCTGGTGTACGAGCTCATGCCCAGTGGCTCGCTGTACCACCGCCTTCTCTGCACCAACAACTCGCCCCCGCTGCTCTGGCACCAGCGCTTTGACATCGCTGCCAACATCGCTGCTGCCCTCGCCCACCTGCACTGCCGGTACCCCCTTGCTGCTCACACGCCCCACTGCCATCCCACCCTCCATGCCTGTTCATTCCACCCGCCTGCAGTTTGCCTGTATTGTTATTCCCTCTGTAGTGGATGCACTCGGAAGTTACGGTTGATGCAGAATGCCGGTGGTGCGTGGTGTTGTGGTGCGTGCGTGCATGCAGGGAGCACCCGATAGTGCATTTTGACTTGAAGCCGACGACGGTGCTGCTGGGGCGGCAGCTGGAGGCGAAGATAACAGACGTGGGCGTGGCGCGCATGATGAAGCGCACGGCGGGCGACGACAGCATGTCGGGCCCCATGGACGCACTCGGCTTCGGCTATGCGTGCCCCGAGCTGCTGCGCTCCAACGCCTTCTGCAGCCGCACCGACGTGTACGCCTTTGGCATGCTGCTGTACGATTTATTGGGTGCCACCACCAGTGGCGGACGCGTGAAAGGGCTCATCGCACAGCTGGATGAGGCGGCGGCGGAGGGGGACCTAGCGCTGCTGCACAGCCTCACGGACCCTGCTGCGCGCTGGCCCAGCAAGGTGGCTATGGAGGTGGCGGCGCTGGCGCGGCAATGCACTGCTGTGAAGCGCCGCGACCGGCCGGATGTTGCGGGTGGCGTGCTGCCTGTGCTGCAGCAGCTACGGCCGGCGGTGGAGTCGTTCCGGGCGGCGGAGGAGGCAGAGGCGGCGACTCTGGCGCTGCAGCAGCAGCTGGTGCTGCAGCGGCGGCAGGCGCAGTTGCAGGGCATGGAGGGCGGTGGTGGTGGTGGTGGTGGTGGTGCGGAGGAGGTGGTATGGGAGGTGGCTCCTAACGCCTTCAGATGCCCCATCACCCTGGTGCGCGCATGCGCATGATGGCACAGCATAGCACGCACCACAGCATGGGCATGGGGGCGGCACTACGGGGGGATGGCAGCACCGTGCTGTTGGAGCAGCGCATATGGTGCATGCCTTCATGTTATCACCACTCCTGTACCCTTTCTCATCCATTGGGGCTTTCAATGCGAGGCTGCAAGGTGTTGAGCTTAGCTCTGGCTGGCAGCTACTACTCCATGCCTCATGCTCACACACAACTCATCACCTTTTCCCAACTCATCACCTTTCCCCTCCACCCCTGCCACTCATGGCACTGCCCCATGTGTGGTGGCAACAGGAGGTGATGCAGTGGCCAGTGGTGGCAGCGGACGGGCACACATACGAGGAGAGTGCGCTGCGCGAGTGGCTGAGCGTGAGCTCGCTGTCCCCCAAGACGCTCATGCCGCTGCCACACCTGCAGCTCACCCCCAACCACGCGCTGCGCTCGCTCATCCGTGACTGGATGGAGCGCAAGAAGCTGTCAGGCGTGCCCCCACGCACCCCCGATGGCTCCGCTGCACATGCAGGAGGCGCTGTCCCGGGAGGGTAGGCGCTTGCTTGCCTGCCAGGCTGAGAGTGCGTGTTGGAGTGAAGGGTAAAGGGTGTAGCTACAGGGACATGTGGAGGTCACAGCGTCCCGCTGCCTGCATGTGGGCCTGTGAGGAGCGTGATAGTGGTGCCTGCTGTGAGAGCAAACAGAGTGATTGTACAGTAAGAGAGTGACCTTCCATGTTCCAGTGAGTACACACACACTGGGCAGAACCTTTACACGGTGTTTCAGCTTTGGCACAGCACAGTCAAGCTTGAGCAAGCTCGTATGTTGAGCAAGCAATGCAGGAAGCGGTGGGTCGTGGAATGATGTAGACAACTAGAGCCACTTCATGTGGGGGTTACAGTGCACTGTGCAGAGCAGGAGCCATGTACACTTGCAGCGAGCACCACTAGTATGGTAGGTGTGTCGCTGCCACACACTTCCATTTGCTTGTTGTAATGTGACAGCACCGTATGGTGTGTACCATATGCTCCTGTCAGGCTAGAATGATCTGTAATGAGACTTTTCCATTTCACCGAGTCAGTGTGCTCTCCAAGGGTAAGAATTGATCATACCTATGAACTGGCAACACAACTGGGCATCAAATTGCAATCTGGCCTAGGTGGGCGCTATGCCTTATGGCTGTAAGCCATGTGTACCACATGCAATGCAAGGACTAGGCTAGGCACACCCTACACTGCAGCAGCTATAGACCACTGGAGAGTGACGGGTTGACACGCACCCGCCGAATGTCATCACATGTGAATCGCTCCCTGGCCTCAACACGGCCTTGCAGTGCCGTGTGCAACGCGGCATACGGTATATCTCATCAGGAGCACGTGCAGCCTAGTACCGGTATGGGAAGCTGTGATCTGTGTGCATGGATGTGGTGTGGTGTGGTGTGCGGCCCTGGTAGCCCTGCCATACAGGCACATGCGGCAAGGTGGAAAATACTGCTGCTCATGCTGCACAGTGTGGGAGCCGGGGGAAGCCAAAGGGGTGTGGAACGGCGGGGAGGAGAGGCGAGTTGGGCGGCGAGCGGCAGGTGAACGAGGGGAAACCTCAGGTGAGGTGGTGAGTGGGGACACGGTGGGGCCGTGCATGGCTAGCTGGGCGAGTCTGAGTGTGCCTCTGCATCGTCCTCCTCCTCCTCCTCCTGCTCGCTGCCCCCATCGCCCTCCTCTGACGTCTGTCTCTCCAACGCATCCTGCCCCTCCTCCTCCGCGCCCTCCCCTCCGCACGGCCCCTCCTCATCACTATGCCCCTCCTCCTCGCGCCCGCCATGCTCCGTGCCATCTGCCCCGCCCTCCGCCCCGCCACTGCTTGCAGCAGTGGGGCGCGAGTCCAGCCCCCCATGGGCCATGGGGGCCATGTGGGCCATGGGGGCCACGGGCGATGGTGATGCCGCGTGTGACGAGCCCCGTTGGGCCGCCGGTGGGTTGGAGTGCGGGTGGGCGGGCGCAGGGTGTGCGGTGGGCGAGGGCTGGCACATGGGGGCGTGCGCAAGGCCGCTGTGGGGCGCACTGGGGTGGTGCGATGCCGTGGGGGCGGCGGGCATGGGCGACGGCACGTGGTGCTGGGATGGCGCGGAGGGGGAGGAGAGCGGCCACGGCACCGGCGACGGAGCAGGTGCCCCGCGCACATGGGCATGCGCGGGAGGGGTAGTAGACGCGGTGCCAGCAGCAGCGGCAGCAGCGGCAGGGGAAGGCGAGGAGGAGGGGGGTTGTGGGAGGTGCGTGGTGGGCGAGGGCGAGGGCGAGGCGAGTTTAGCGAGCTCGAGGTGGAACTTCATGTCCATCTCCATGCGCCGCACCTCCATGTCCCTCAGCATCTCCATCTTGCGCGCCTCCTGCTCGCGCTGAAACTCCATGCGCCGCTGCTCCAGGGCCATCAGGTACCGCTGCTTCTCTACCTCCACACGCGCGTATAGCTCGCCGAAACTGCTGATCGCCTCCGCCAGGCTTCGCACCGAGTCCTCACCCGCCCCCACCACCGCCGCCGCTGCCGCCTCGCCCACACCCATTGCTCCCACTCCCCCCATTGGATGCCCCATGCCCCCCATACTACCAGCCATGCCCCCCATGCCACCCTCCTGCCCGCCTGCATCCGCGGCCCCGTTGGGCATGCGCCGGCTGCCCTCATAGCCCCCTCTCCACCGCCGCATGCGCTTCTGCCGCTCCCCCCCTGCCCCTGCTGCCGCGCCCACCCCACTGGGCAATGCAGGCCCCCCTAAGCCCCCCCCGCCGCCCTGCCCTCCTCCTCCCTCGCCCTCCGCTCGCCCATACTGCCCCACCGCCCCTGCTGCATCCTCCCCACCACCCTCTTCCTCCTCGTCCTCTTCCTCGTCCTCCTCGTCGTCCTCGTCCTCCTCGCCCTCCGCCCTGCCCTCCCCTCGGTTGCACGCCGTTGATCCCGGGCTCTCACCCACCGCCACGTCACCCCCGCCTTCCACGCCTGTGCGCGGCCTGCCAGAAAATGCGGCGGGAGGTGCGCCCGTGGGCAAGAAGGGGGGCGAGGGAAAGGCGTCCGCGGAGGCAGGCATCAGGGGGGCCGCACCGCCGCCCCCGCCCGCGGCCCCTCCCCCAAGCACCGCCCCCGCTGACGGGCCCGCTTGCCCCGCCAGCCCGCCCAAGCGTACTCCGCCGATCCCCATCCCTCCCGCGCCTCTAACCTCCCCTCCGCCCTCCCCCACGCACTCCCCCTGCCGGTCCATGGGGCCCGCGGACCACTTGATGCCGTCGCCGTTCGTCACTGCCCCGCCCGGGCCCGCGCACATCATGCTGTTGCGCGCCCCCAAGCCCCCTGCGCCACCTCTCCCCGCGCCCACGGGCCCCCCCGTGCCTAAATACACGCTGCCGCCCATTCCAACCCCGGGTAAAACCCCCATGGGCGGGGGGGGGCCGCCAGCGCCGGAAGAGGCCCCCATGACGCCCCCTCTGCCCGCGCCCCCCATCCCCATGCCCACGGCGGGCAGAGGAGGCATGCCGCTCGGCACAAGCACGCCGTTGCCGTTGCCGCCCCCCACGAATCTGCCGGCCATGCCGCCCGCCGCAATGTTGTGCAGAAAGTAGGTGCCGTCCGCCGGCGGCATGCCCATCACCGTGCCCATGGCGGACCCGCCCAGCCCCCCTGCGGACATCGCGGCGGCGGGCGCGGAGGCCACGGCGGGGTAGACGGGCGTGGCGGGGAGAGTGGCCCCGCCGGAGCTCATCCCGCCGCCCCCGCCCACGCCCGACGACTCCAGATCCTCGCCCATGGCGGCGGCGCTGCTGCCGCCCGCCCCCGCGACGCGCTTGTGGCCGCCGATGAGCTGATCCAGCTTCTTGTAGTGCTCCCACCGGCTGAGCCCGCGCCATCGCAGGCGCTCCGCCTTGTACTTTTTCTTGAGCGAATCCAGCTTCATGCGGCACTGCACCACCGTCTTCGCCGCCTTGCTCCCGCCACCGCGCGCGTTGACGCGCGACGTGACCTCCTCCCACTGCGCCGCCTTGAGGTTGCCCTGGTCTGAGGCTAGGTAGTTGTCACTCCACGCCTCCAGCAGCACCGCCGTCGCCTCGCGGCTCCACTCGCCGCGGCTCCGCAGCTCCCCCAGCGACGCCTTGCCGTCGCCGCCGCTGCTGCCCCCGCCGTTGCCGCCGCCCATGCCACCCATACCGTCGCCCTGCGATCCCTCCTCCTCCTCCATCGCCTCTGCATTCCCGCCTGCGCCGCTGCCACCCGCCGTCGCCGCTGCGGACGCCGCCGTGCCGCTGGTGTCCTCCAGCGACATGCGGCGCGACTTAACCGCGCGTGGAGTCGCCGTGGTGGCTGGCTTTCAAGAGACGACGACACGATGTGCGGTCGGGGCGAGTGAGCGCGGCGATGGCGGATGCGCGCGATGCAGGCCGTCAGGCGGAAGCGCAGATGCGCGGATCTCGCACGGGCGGTGCGTAACGGAGCGGGATTTAGGGGTGATGGGCCACGCAGGGCGGTGCAGAGGCAGATTCAGGCGCAGGAGAGCGAGGAGAAAAGCGGGATGCGCAGTGCGGAGGGGATGCGCGGAGGACCCGCCATGACTGCTGGAGCGGCGACTGCGAGCAGCATGGGAGATGCGCTGAGAGGAGAGGAGGAGCGAGGTGGGTGAGAGGTCGCCAGGCAAGCGAGGGGAGGCAGAGCAATAGCGGTGAAGGGGCGAGCAGGCAAGCACGAGGGGGATGAGCATGCGGAGGGGAGCAGCTTTGAGGGCGAGCAAGGGGAAAAGGCGTCGCACAGGCGACGCTCGGATTCAGATTCCCCGTCGCACACTGTACCCGCTGATCGTATTCATTGTACGCGTTGACAAATCATAGCAGGTCAAGAGGCTGGCTGGAAAGCACCATCTACATATTGAATTACCGTAGGAGCCTTATGGCAATCATATATTCGCCAAAAATGGAAAACACCAAGGAGCTCAATAATGTGTGCATGCTGCACCATTCTGCAACTACCTATATCGGCGCAAGAAAAGGAACACCTCAAGGAATCTCAAACAGCACATCACTTGGCGCTAGCAACCTATGATGAGTGATGTGTCATGTGTCGGCGCAGCAGGCATGGCGATGGTGGGGTGGGTGGTGTTACAGCTTTGGCAACGACCCATGCAGCAACACAGCGACCTGCAATGGAGCACAGCAGAAAGAACATGCAAAATGAGGCTTTCACCAGAGACAGGTGAGCTGCGAAGCAAACCAGTAGCATGCAGTTACCGTGCGAGAGGAGCCATGCCCCTGCTCTCACCTTGCTTGCATCCGTCATACACACCACGTCCATTGCCCGCTGCCTCATCGCCACACCCCCATCTGCTGCCCCGTTCCATGCCTCCCCCCCTGCCGCCACCTCTGCTGCGGCATGTGGCGTTGGCAGGCGCTGCTCCAAGGGTGATGGTTCAAACAGCTGGAAGGGCAGCTGCATCGGATCCAACGACTTCAGAAACTTCATGGAAACAACCAGCTGGTCTGAGTGAAGCACAAGGGAGTGCACGTGTGAAGGCATTGCGGCAGCCTCCTCCGCCCCCTCACAGCCCTCCAGCACTTGAAGCCTCACTCCACTGGACTGCCTCTCATCACCCTTGCCCTTGCCCTTGCCTTTGCCTTTCTTCTTGCCACTGTCTTCAGCCCCACTCCCATTACCATCCTCACCATGTGCATGCCCCTCCTCCTGCTGCTCGCATGGAACAGCTGCCACCCGCAGTACCTGCTGCTGCCCTCCGCTCCCACTCTCCATCTGCACTCCTGCTGAGCTGGCATCGGAGCTCGCTGACGCAGCAACTGCCACGTCAGCATTGGACTGGATGCATGCAGCAATGAGGGAAGGATCAGGCTGTGCTGTCGGATGCAGTAGCACCTGCTTGGGAGAGAATCCGGGGTGGTGGGAAGAGAGAGGCGGGAGGGAAGGGACAGGCACAAGTTGAATCAGGACATGCTCTTCAGCAGTAGCAATGGGTTGGAGGTCGGTGTATCATCTCCCGCAGTTGGCTCACGACATTCCCCAGCATCATCACTCAGTCCCGTCCCTTTACCCTGGACCACCTCCCTTGCCATGCAAGTCCCACAGTGATTCTCATCATGCCACGTGCATCAAACGACCCCTGTGCCCCGTCCGCCCTCACCACCACGCATCTGCACCTTACCTCTCAACAGTACCACCCTCGCACCCCTTTCCTCTCCCACCCTCCCTCCCCCACCCCCCTGGCTGACCAGCAGGTGCTTGACGCCCTGCTTGGCGAGGCCGCGCAGCACAGCCGCGTCCTTGAGCGCCAGGAACACTCCCCCTCCCCCGCCCGACGCCCCCTGCAGCGCCGCACTCGCCGCACTGCTTGCAGGCTCCGCCTCAGGCCGTGGCAGGGGGCGGAGAAGCAGGTGGAACGGAGGAGGAGAGGAGGCGGAGTCAGGGGATGGCGAGGAGGGGGGTGGAGGTGGGGTGGATGGCGTGGTGGTGGGTGGGTTGAGCGAGAGGAGTGGCCATTGCGGGAGGGGGATCCAGGTGGGCTGAGGGGGGGAGAAAGGGAACATAGAGGAGAGACAGGACAAACGGCACGTGGGGGGAAGTTGCAGTGGATGGTTGTCGTCTGCCTTTTGTGTGTCGTACACCCTGGTGAAGCGGCACCACACGGCTGACAACCCAAGAGCAGGCAGAAACGAAAAAACACAGCGAAAACACAGAAGGGGGAAAGGCAAGTGGGGGAAAGGCAAGTGGGCAAGTGACGGCTGAGGGGAAAGGGGGAAAGTGGGGAGAGCAGGAGGCGTAGAGGAGGCATGGCTTGGCATGGCATGGCATGGCTTGGCATGGCATGGCATGGCATGGCATGGCATGGCATGGCATGGCTTGGCATGGCATGGCATGGCATGGCATGGCATGGCATGGCATGGCATGGCATGGCATGGCTTGGCATGGCATGGCATGGCATGGCATGGCATGGCATGGCTTGGCATGGCATGGCATGGCATGGCATGGCATGGCATGGCATGGCATGGCTTGGCATGGCATGGCATGGCATGGCATGGCATGGCTTGGCATGGCTTGGCATGGCATGGCATGGCATGGCATGGCATGGCTTGGCATGGCATGGCATGGCATGGCTTGGCATGGCATGGCATGGCATGGCATGGCATGGCATGGCTTGGCATGGCATGGCATGGCATGGCATGGCATGGCATGGCATGGCATGGCATGGCATGGCATGGCTTGGCATGGCATGGCATGGCATGGCATGGCTTGGCATGGCATGGCATGGCATGGCTTGGCATGGCATGGCATGGCATGGCATGGCATGGCATGGCATGGCATGGCTTGGCATGGCATGGCATGGCATGGCATGGCATGGCTTGGCATGGCATGGCATGGCATGGCATGGCATGGCTTGGCATGGCATGGCATGGCATGGCATGGCATGGCATGGCATGGCATGGCATGGCATGGCATGGCATGGCATGGCTTGGCATGGCATGGCATGGCATGGCATGGCATGGCATGGCTTGGCATGGCATGGCATGGCATGGCTTGGCATGGCATGGCATGGCTTGGCTTGGCACGGCGGACCTGTGATGGTGCAGTGGCATCGAGCAGCGACTGGTGCAGAGTGAGGGGTGATGCCGTCTCGTCCACCACGAGCAGCCATGGCAGGGGGGATGATTCCTGCTCACACACCAAGAACAGGGAGGCGAGGAGAGGCGCGGTGAGGCAAGGCACATGGAAGAGGGTGTGTGCGGCAACACGTGGAAGAGTGCAGCATGTGCAGGGCACTCACCGCCCCCTCCCTCCATGCGTCCACAGCGCCCATCTGCCTCCTCAGCCGCGCCATGTCTCGCCGCACGTACTCCTCCACACGCCGTGCCATGCCCGCTGCTCCCCCCCCTGCACCACTGCCGCTCCCCTCCCTCACCGCGTCGGCAGCAGCAGCAGCCCCCAGCAGCGCCACCACCGCCACTGCACCCTCGCCCACCGCCCGCCTGCCCTCTCCCTCCATACCCTCACCCCCACCCGCCCCCTCACTGCTCGCCGCGCCACCCAGCAGCGCCGCCTCACCACCTGAACGTGCGAGGAGGAGCGGCCAGTGGGGCAGGGGCACGGGCTGGGGCAGGGGGGGCACGGTGTGTGCGCGCGGAGTGAGGGCGGAGTGTACGGCATGGGCCACGCGCCTGAGGTCCACTGCTAGAAGCTGCTGCAGCACTGCATCCACGTCCACGTGCCCCTGCATGTGCCCCTGCGCTCGCGCACTCCCTGCCCCCTCCTCGCCAGCACCTGCCTCTGCTGCGGCCTTCTCCATCTGCAGGGCCGCGTGCACCCAGTGCAGCACGTGCTGCTGCCCCGCCTGCCCGTACCGCTCCTCCACCTGCCGCCTCCTCTGCTGCCGCTTCTTGCGCTCCCGGGCGGACTAAAGGGGGGATGGGGTGGCAGGGGGGGGAGGGGGGGAAGGGAGGGATGGAATTGGTGGAAGGACTTCGGCTGGGGGTGACAGGGAGTGTGGAAGAGGGACGAGGAGGAAGGAGGGAGCGTGGCGTATCATACAGAACTGAAAGAAGAGCTTGCTGCCACAGCATGCGCGCACTGACCATGCCCTTGCGCGCGCCCTCGTCGCCCTCCTCCTCCGGCGTCGGCTCTGCCTTGCTTGCGGGGCGCTGGTTGAGGTCAAGCAGCCCGGGAGGAGGGTCCACCACAAGGTGCCGCTGCTTGAGGTTCACCTCAGGCACGATGGCGCGCACAAACGGCACCCACACGCATGGGGCCCCGCCACTCGCGCTCCCCTTTTTGCCACCGCCCCCTTTGCCCTGTTTTTTCTTCCCCTCGCCCTGCCCCTTTGCCCTCCTCCCTGCCTCTCCCCCCGCCGCCCCCTCTGACCCCGCCGCCGGCTCCTCCCCTGTGTGCAGGCGCACACGCAGCAGCTCCCCCGCGCCCCCTCCGCTGTACACGTCCTCCACCACGCCTATGGGCGCGCCACCCTCCTGTGCACCCAGCGCGGGGGAAGAAGGGGAAGGGGGTCAGAATGGGGGGACTGAGCAGGGCACGGATGGGATGAGGGGGAAGGGGACGAGGTGTTAAAAGTGCAGGGCGGGCGAAGGGGAGGAAAGGCGCGAGGCGAGGGGCAGTGGGGTGCGATGGGGGGCATGGAGACCTTGAGCAGCACGGAGAGGCCGATGAGGTCGCTGGAGTACACCTCGTCCTCTGCCAGCTCCGGGCGATCCTCCTCCCGCACCATCATCACACTGCCCCGTAGCGCCTCCGCCTGCCATGCCACGCCATCCCATGTGCCATGTCAATCCAGCATCACAGCAGCACAGAGGAGAGAGAGCAGAGCATGCTGGTTAAAGCCGTGGGGAGGAGGGGTAGGAAAGGGGTGGGGTTGGTTAGGTGTGGTATCTTTGTTTGGATTGGCTTGGCTTAGCAACCGTCTGGATTGATGCCTTGCCTTGTTTGTCACTTGCTGCTATTAATACGAAGGACCGTTCGAGCATGCTGGTTAGGGTTGGGGGACAGCGATGGCATCATGTGAGAGGTGGTGCAAGGACCGAGACGCGGAAGGCATGGCGATGTGCATACTGCCATGGACCGCCCAGCATCACCCCAACGACCCCCAAGAACACAGCCACGCGTCCCCACCCCACCCATACCACCCGTGGGTCCACCGAGCATGCGCACCTGCTCCGTGCTCTCCACGTCCTTGAGTCGCACCAGCCACAGCCCATACCGCCCCGGGCCTGGCCGCCCGCCCCTCACCCACACGCGCCTCATACTCGCCCCGCGCTGCTCCGCTGCTGCCGCCTCCCCTGCAGTTGCCTCCCCAGCCGCCTCTCCTGCTGCTGGTGGCGGCGGCGCAGCTGCGGGAGCGGGAGCAGGGGAGGGAGCGGACTGCCTGCCTGGGCGCTTCAACCAGCGCCAGCCACCCTGCAGCCGCCGCCACGCCCGCAACGAGAGCGAGGGGGGAATGGGGGGTCGCGGAGACGCGGTGCACGGGGTAGAAATGGGGGAGAGAGTGGGAAGAGGGACAGGTGGGGGGAGAGATTGGGGCAAAGATGGTAGTGAATCGCCGTGTGTTAAGCTGGAATCGGTGCCATACCATGCACTCGCGCGCACATGGACTGTGGCAACCATGTGCGCTCCCCCCATCCCTCTCCGCCAGCATGCGCCACGCGCACCTGTCCGAAGCGCTGCTCCGGGAAGTCCGTGAGCGGCTTCACGCGCAGCTCGCCGCGCAGCCCGTGCGCGCCCACTATCACCCCCACCTCCACGCCCTCCCCCTCCCACTCCGGCACCTCTCCGCCCCCCTCCTCCGCCTGCTCATCGTCCCAGTCTTCATCCCACTCATCCTCGTCCTCCCAGTCTTCCTCATATTCCTCCTCATCCTCCTCTTCCTCTCCCTCGCCTTCGCTCATCTCCTCATCTCCATCCTCCCCCTCCGCTTCCTCTTTCCCCGAGTGCTCGCCTGCTCTCCGCTTCTCCCCTTCCGCCCGTACCCTGTCCCCCGCCAAACCCACCGCATCACCCGCTGCCTCCACGGCAGTGCATGGCGCAAGCCGTCGTCTGGTCCCCCAGTGGGATCCATGGGGAGGCTTGGCGCGCAGCCCCGTCGTCTGGGCCGACCATTTGCTGGAAGCGGCCCGGCTGGCGCGGAGGAGAGGTGTGAAATCAGACGTTACGCGGGGTGAGTGTGACGCCACGTGGTCAGTGGCCCATGCGGAGGGACGGCGGCGAAGTTGCGCTGGCAGCGCTGTGCGTGCGAGGACGTGCGACATGGCCATGTGATGGCAGTGCGACAGGAACGGATGGAGTCGCCTGGCTACTGAAAAAACACCAGCGTTTGAGGGGTTTGTGTACGCGACATTAGCTGCCCAAGGGAACTGTAGTCCTATGAACTGAACTGCTGCTGCATTCTATGGTTCAAAAATTTGTAAGGGAAGCACAGCATATCGTCGTCACAACGATCTCATATCGTCAATCTGGTTTTGTAACCAGCGCAGTGGTTCGGCTTCGCACAATCGCCAAATTCTCATCGCAGGCTCCCAGGAATGTCACACTACTACCTGACCTGTCGCTTATTCCTTCGGCTCGCCTCATTTCCTCTAATCTCCTCCGATCTCCTCGATCCCAGACTCAGGATTGTCAGGCTGCTCTCTTCATTTAGGCCTGTCCCTGACACCTTACCTCGCGTACCGCATAAGGGCTGAGACTTCAGGAAGAAGTAACCGGAATTCGTTACGCATCTGCGGTCGTTCGATCTCGTTGTGCTGACACCCAGCCTCACCGAATCTCAGGTCCGGATCTTGCCCACAGCCTCGTAACTTGCAATTCAGGCGTCAGTCGGAAGTTATTCCCCGCTTTATGAATTTCTTCTCGCATGTCGATTGGTGTGCCGCCCGGCGTGGCGGCCATGAGTCAGTATAGATTCTGTGTTTTCATGCCAATCCTTCTCCCTTCGCCGTGAGCCATGGCACTCAGCATCACCTAGGTCACGCCACAGGTGTCCACTGGGGCTGTATAAACTGTGATGCGTATTGAGCTACATGGGTAAGCATACATCTGGATAAACTCATATTTGTCAGTCAGTGCATAAACTCATCTTTTTATCGCCATGCATGCATCCCATCATCATATGGATTTCCGCGTTCCTGACCCCTTTCGCCCCCTCTCGCGCCTTTTTGTCGTCTTCCGCCCCCATTCGCCGCGCCACGTCTCCCCCGCCCCGTCTCTTCTACGCACCGTCCCGCCCACCCCCTCCGTGTCCGCGCAGCGACCTCAGGCCTTCGCTCCGCCACCCGTGCACGTGCGCGCAGGTTGACAGGCGGCGGGCATGGCGCGCTACGACCGCGCGATCACGGTGTTTTCCCCGGACGGGCACCTGTTCCAGGTGGAGTACGCCACGGAGGCCGTGTCCAAGGGCACCACGGCCGTCGGCGTGCGCGGCACGCACACGCTCGTGCTGGGCGTCGAGAAGAAATCCACCGCCAAGCTGCAAGACGCGCGGTGAGATGGGGCGCGTGAGATGGAGAGAGGGGGGGGAAGAAAGGAGGGGGGGTTGGGTAGGTCGTGGTGAGATTGGGCCTGGTGAGACGGGGCGCTGGCTCCTGGTGAGACGGAGCATGTGAGATGGGTCACCATGGAACTGTTTGCGTCTCCTCACAGCCCCTGTCATCTCTCCGCCGCTTCCCTCCTCCCATCCCCTCCACCCCCCCATCCCCCACCCGCCTTCCCGCTCTCAGCACGGTGCGCAAGATCCACCGGCTGGACTCGCACGTGGCGCTGGCGTTCGCGGGGCTGACAGCGGATGCACGTGTGCTGGTGAACCGCGCGCGCGTGGAGTGCCAGAGCCACCGCCTGACGGTGGAGGACCCCGTCACCGTGGAGTACATCTCTCGCTACATCGCTGGCGTGCAGCAGCGCTACACCCAGGTGTGCACCCCTCGCGGACATGCACTCAGCCACGGCTACGGTGCTGAGCCAATACTGACGCATGCGCCATCTTCCTGTTTCTGCACCTCTATGCACAACTGCGTGCTTGAAAGCAGTAGTGGTCTTGTTCTCTACATCTCTCACTGTTTGTTCTGCCTGCCCACCCATCCTCTCTCCTCTCTCCCCCTGGCCGTGCCGCTGCGTCCAGAGTGGAGGAGTGCGGCCATTTGGCATCTCAACGCTCATCATCGGGTTTGACCCGCACTCAGGGCGCCCGTCGCTGTTCCAGACGGACCCTGCAGGCACGTTCACGGAGTGGAAGGCGAATGCGACGGGGCGCAACAGCAAGACAGTGAGGGAGTACCTGGAGAAGAACTACAGCGAGACTGATGGGGACGAAACTGTCAAGCTTGCCGTTAAGGCCTTGCTCGAGGTCAGTCCTGTGCCCAACTGTGCCATGCCGTGTCATGTCATGCCATACCATTCAAGGTTTCATCAGGGGGCAGTTGCTCCTTGATTTAGTGCACTAGTTCCTGGCAGCGTCTTTCCGTGGCAAGCTCACACATGCTACTTGGTTTGGCGGATGTTTTCTAGTATAATTGAGTGGATGTGTGGGGTGTGTGTGCAGGTGGTGGAGAGTGGTGGCAAGAACATCGAGGTGGCAGTGATGACTCGTGACAAGGGGCTGCGCATTCTGGCAGAGAGCGAGGTGGAGGTGATAGTGGCGGATATAGAGGCGGAGAAGGCTGCAGCGGAGGAGGCAAAGAAAGCAGGCAGGGGCGAGCGGACAGCCTCATAGGAGGACAGCAGGGTGTGATGAGGCGTGGTCCTTCAGTAGGGATTTGAATTGAGTAGCTTACGATGTGGATCGGTGCATGTGTGTTTACACCAACATCCGGGCTGTCATGAACGAATGCATTCCATCCACCGATGCAGAATTGTCTTATCGTAACCAAATATATGGAGGAGGGTCTCTAATTTCTTCGCCTCATGGTGCATTTGGAACATGAAAATCTTCAGATCTGGGTTGCATGCTTCGCAGTTTGCCTGACCTGGCCATTCGCTTCTAATTTTTAGATGGGAGGGCAGCTGTAATTGCAACATGTGCTCTTATATACAAGCTTCTCCCTCTGGAGGGACTTTGACAGCACTTGGGGGTGGTGACCTAACTCTATGGTATTCAACATCTTCATGCGTCGTTTCATGTGTCCCAGGCCTCAGCTCTTGAGATCCACGTTACACCTGTGTATAATGCCATCATTTGCAGTCACATATGCCAACCAGTACGGCCTGAAGTGCTTCATCGCAGTATCCAGCCATGGTTTCTGCACAGCACATCAAATGAATTTAAGGCAAAAATCAGGATAAGCCACGAGACTTACAAACAAGGAACAAGTGAACGAGAGATAGGCTGAGAACGGTCATGGCACGAGATTAAGAGCCCATCTCACCCAGTTGCCATTGTAGTGCACAACAGCGGCCTTCTGCACGTCCTCTAAGGGCACGTCCTTGTTGTACCCCAGGCCCAGCACATGCCAGTGCGCGTCCAGCGCCTGCGTGCGGTTGTAGAACGTCATGAGCCCCGGGGGCAGCGTCCCCAGCTGCCACAGCGACCGGTCCGCATTCTGTAGTGCCCAGCAGTCATAATGGCCATAGGGAAATCGAGAGAGAGAGAGAGAGAGAGAGAGAGAGAGAGAGAGAGAGAACAGATGGACAGAAGTGGGGTCAGACGAGACTGGTGGGATCATTGCATGGGCTGACAGTAACAAAGAGAGCTGAGTTCAACTATTATTCAACCCTCCCCCCCCACAATCCCTTCACCATGCATCCCCCCACATCGCCCCCAACGCACCATGGTCTGGTACTTGTGGTAGACAGCAGTGAGGTTGTGGAGCCGCCAGGCCTGCAGGTCAAACACGTTCATGCCGTACGCCCAGCCACAGGCGTTGGGGTCGAAGTGTTCCTTGATGTAGGGGTGTGAAAAGTTGAGGTACTTGAAGAGGCGGTGGAAGTCGCCCACACACGTGAACACAGCGCTGTTCACGTTGCCGTGCAGGGGCAGTGTGAAGAGCGGCGCAAGGTCCCTCTGCACCACGATATCGTCGTCCAGGAACACCACTCGGTTGAGTGTTGGGTACATCTGGTGTGCGCATGGACAGACCACCGGGGGGGACACAGAGAGGGTTGGTGCATGCACGTGGAGGCAGGACCAAACGCTGGAGTGCTGTGTACGGGTATGGCAGGCAAGGCAGGGACGCACCTCGGGCAGGTAGAAGCGCAGGTGGTTGAGCATGGAGAGGTACTTGGGGTTCTTGAACTTTAGCTGCGTTGGGCCTGCTGTTGCCTCCGCGGACGCCCCTCCAGAAACGTGCTTCTTGTCTGCACATCAGCGGAGCACGGGCATTACAACATGTTGTCATCACGCACATAGAATGCAGGTGCACGTGCTTGTACGCTGTCACAACATTATAGCGGTTGCTGCAGGCTGTCATGGCATTCCTCTCTACATACGAGCGCAAACCGGGCAGCATCTGACCTTCAGCTGCCTGCTGCGAGAAGTAGAAGGCCTTGAGGCTTGTTGCCTGCAGTTGCTGCAGCACGGGGCAGTAGGAGGCGTTGAGGAACGAGTAGTGCTCCACGGCCTTGATCTCCAGAGCCATCTTGCCTGGCGGGTGCAGCGCGAACCACGCTCGCATGGCTGGCAGATTCATCTCGTCTGTCACCACGTGGAACACATGCCTGCCACAGAAATGGATGCGGGTAAGGAGCATGCGCACAGAAACATCACAAACTGCAACTGACATGCGGCCATGCACGCATGCTAGTGCACCACCGTTGGAGGCCCGCCAACAGCATGTCAGGCAGGCGAGTGCTGCAACAGAGAGCTGATGTGCGTGCTGCTTCACAAATTACTTTTCTGGGTTTTTGGCGTTTTGCATAGTGGAGTTGACGACGACCGACACGGCGAGCACGTTATCCGAGAAGAGTGCATAGTGGTACAGCGACGGGTCCTCGAACCTCCTCGCCTGCTTGCTCTCTCGCGCCCTTGTGACCTCCTTGATGTGCTCGTTGCTGCCATACGCCTACCACACGCCACGCAAATCAATGAAGATTCAACGTCATGGATTGGGTGGAAAGCTTACACGGTAACAAGCAGCAGCTAGGCAAGCAGGTCGACGACGATTCTGTGCGGTCGCAGGTGTGGTGAGCTGGAAAGACGGGAAACAGGGGTATTTGGGATGAGGCTCACCACGGCGAGTCTGAGGTTGAGGCAGTGCAGCGCTTTAGGGAGCGCCTTGGCGGCAGCGAGGTCCAGCTTGTTGCGCTCCTTGCTCACGGCTTTTAGCTTCGTCTTCATCTTATCCACCTCGCCTCTCAGCCGTTCGATCAGCGTCAGCGTGCTACGCCACTCCTGAGCGCGCGCCCTCAGGGATTCCAGCAGTTTGATCACCCCGATCGCCTTCTCCTCGCCGCCCCACGCCCGCGCGCTTTTCCATGCCTCCACCAGCGGCTCCGCGCGCTCTAGCGCAGCGCGCACGTGCTTGACGAGCTGTGCGTTGTCGCGCCGCGTGGCGTCCGGCAGCACAGCGGCGACCTGCGTCACGAGGTCCGCCATCATGGCCATGTACGACTCGCGCTTCGCCGCCGGCACCTGATCTGCCGCCGCCGCTACCGCCACGCCACTGGTCTTCAGCGCCGCCGTCCCGCGAGCCGTCGCCGCTGTGTGCCGCTCGCGATCGTTCAATTCGGTCTCGTCCTTCACCTGCCATTTCTGCTTCATACCCCTATCGCCGTCTGACCCGTTCTGATCCAACGAGAGCGAGGGGCTCTCTGACTCCTCCTCCACCACGGCCTTCGTTTCATCCTCCTTTCGCGCCGGCGACGATGCTTCCCCGACCGACAAATTGTTGCCGTCATTCATCGCAGAGCTTCCTTCGTCGCCGGCGAATTCGTCCGTACCGTCTGTTTCCTGCTTCACGACCGCCTGTTCGGCCTGAGATACATCCGCCTGCTTTGGAAAACCTCCCCGGGGCTCTGATAGGCTGACCACCTCCTCGATTTGAAGAACGCCCGCGCGCGGTTGCAATTGCTCTGCTGCAATGCGTGCTGTTGGACCGCCACCCTGGATCGGAGAAGAATTCTTCTATGAGTTATAGCGAACACAAAAGCACCGAGGGTGAAAGCAAACTGGTTGAACCAGCAAAGCTAACTAACCTCTGAACCAATCGAATACGTCACGACGGTGGTTGTGATGTCTGAACGGAGAACAGGGAAATGCCGTGTCAGTGTGAGCATCAGGAGAGATAACGAACGAGGGAGATACGGATGATGCGTGAAGACGCACGAATCGGGCGTGCTGACCTTGAATTGTTGACGGGGAGTTTGAGAAAGTGGCCCAGAGGAACAAAGGTATAAGCAGAACGCACGCCATGAGACCACATCCAAGTCGCATGCGTGAAGAAGTGGGGGAAGTTGTGTCTCGAGTAAACGACTTCACCCTGCGTAGTGGCACGTCTGACCTGCAGAGCACCACGGAATATGGAGTTCATTACATCTTCTGTTCGACCTTGACTGAACCTCTTTCTGATCAGACAAGCCGATGCTCAAATGGCTGATGTTGATTCTGAAATAATCATACTAGGGTTGAATTATTCTCCTGAGACACTTCGGACGATACTTACTTGGGAACAGCTGGATAGCTGGCTGTAGGTGAACCCATCCTCACAGTCTGGGTTCCTTACTGCCAAACACAGCTCACTCCCTCGTACAGAATTACTGAGCGAGAACAGCTACCATGCAGCACCTTGGGAGCAGTCACAGCGAGTGTTTGGGTGAGCAATGAATGTAGGAGGTGATGGTGGTGACCATATTGCCAGAGTGGGGGACTGGAAATGCTGACTGTCACCCGACTCCTCCCGAGTCCCGACTATGGAATGGGACAACTTCAGCTGCAATCCAATTAAGCCAGCGCGGTTCGCAAATGCGATCCCTAACAGTCCGCCTGGAAGAAGCTGATGGGTCGTAATCTGCCCGCGGTCTGAAAAAATAAACCCCATCTGGATGGCATGCGATTAGGGGAGCTCCAACCCTAAACACGGGCAGCCGCTTGGTTCTGCCCGAAAAGATTACATTTGCAAACCCGCACTGGGAAAATGAGATCGCAGTTCGAATTGTCCGCTATGGAATCCTCCGACCCGAGAGTCCCTCCCGACTCGACCCAACCAATCCCCATGTGTCTGTTGGGTGACGTGCGCAGTATGCGCTTCGTTGAGTCAGAGTGACCCCTCGAGAATTCGGCTGGACGTCCTTGGGGTCAGTGGGATGACCTGCCGATAGGTTTCAGTGACCAAGCCACCAGCCGAACCCCTATGTCTCTACCTGGGACGGTTTGGAACGGTTCCCAAACGTTCTTCGTTCTTCCACAGGTCACATTAGGTTTGAAAGTTCATTTCGCGAAAACAATAATGCCTCTTATCCACAGGTCAAAATTCGCTCACTTACGGTTCGGTAAACGTGGTCAAATAATATATGACGATAAGACATATTATTGACACTCCTGAACTGAACGGTCCAACCTTACCGAGTACGAAGTCCATGCGGTGAATCACTCTACACGGGAGCTGGACTACGGGGGAAGGCACGAATGGTATGCGTGACTGTAGCTTGCTCGTGTTCTCTAGCGCTTGCGCATTTATGGGGCAGTTTTCCCAAGAGTTTCACTAGCAATCCGGAATACAAAAAGATGGAAATTGCAATTGCAAAGATGACTACATATGGGACCTAGCAACCTAGCAATCAGGCAGGCCGACCTCCAGCGAAGTACGGGGGCGGTTTGTCAGCGTAGCAAGTCGACGGAGTGCCAACGCAGCTGGGAGACGGCTTGCCAACACTGCAGGTCAACGACCTGCCAGCGCTGCATCACTGCGTGCCATCGCTGCAGCAAAGAGGCTCGCCAGCGTTGGAACCGCAGGTAACAAGAGCGTGCATGCCCACCCACCATGCAAGGACAACAGAGTCCACTGCGGGGCTCGACGTCGTGTTGATTGGTGCCGGCTGGAGCAAGAGCCAAGTCGACGAGGCACTCTACTTCAAGGACGGCGAAAACGGAGTGGCGCGTTGGGTGCTCACCTACGTCGACGACCTACTCGCCGCTAGCAGCAGCAGTGCTATACTAAAGAAGCTGAAGAAGCTGCTGGAGGCCGCCTTTGAGCTACGCGAGATCAGTCCGGTTCAGAAGTACATAGGGCAAGAGATCGTGTGCGACCGACCGGCGAGGAAACTGCAAATTCATCAGCAGGCCTATGTCGACGAGATGCGTCGACGGCGACGAGGCCTGACATTGCCTTCGCGTAGTGTGGGGAGCGGCCTGACAGTGCGGAGCGACAACCATTGGCGCGATGTCGATTGTTATCTGCACTACCTCGCAGACACCCGTGACACCACCCTCGAGTTCGGCGGCGGACCAGAGTCGATGTGTTTGGTCGGCTATGCAAACGCCGACGACGCTGGTGACAAGCAGAACCGCAGCAGCACGAACGGCTACGTGTTCGTCTTCGGCAGAGTCGACGTCTCCTGGACGAGTCAGCGCATCAAGTGCAAGACACACTCGTCGACCGAGTTGGAGTACGTCACGACCACTTAAAGCTGGCAAGGAGGCACGCCGACTTCGCTTCCTCCTCGCTGAGTTCCAGCGGCTTGATGCTAGAAGGCCGACCGTGCTGCATGTGTACAACTAGTCGGCGGTCGCTGAGGGCATGGGGCTTAAGGGCAACACCGAGCACATGGAGCGACGCTACGACTGGCGGTAGCAGATGGTGAAGCGTGAGAAGATTGTTCTCCAGTACATTCTGACCACCGAAAAGCCGACGGATTTCTGTCAGAAACACTAAGTACAGCTAGGCTTAGGTGCCATGGCTATGGTAGCTTAGTAGCTTAGGTTTTGGGGTTCAAGAGGAATGTCGAGAGAGTTGCAAAGGAGAAAAGGTGTGCAATAAAGAGAGAAGGTACAAGGATATAGGCAAAGCAAGCAAGGTGCACCACCAAATAATGTAACACTACACTAACTACCGCTACAAGCAGTTTATATAAGAAATATATTTCAACAATTTCCTCATGAAGGCTTTGCATTTTCCGGCTTCCAACCAGTGCTCCTTTGCAGTCGTCCAGGTTCGCCTTGCCGAAGTCGGAGACGACGAAGTGCAGAAGTAGGCGCCATGTCCTTCAACATGGCTGGTGCGGTGAGTGTGGAGGACCTGGGTTCGATTCCGACTGTTGGCGACTTCCTGTGCCCTAGCATTTGTGGGCTGGCACGACCGTCATCGCGGGCGCCGAACTTTTCTGTGCGCACGAACCAAGCTGAAGTTGCTCTGGTAGGTGGATTTAAACATGGGCCACCCGAATTTGCAACAATGTTCGAGTCATTCGATGCTTTTCCCTACGCCTATAGGGATCCATGCGCTTCTTTAGCATTTGTGGGCTGGCACGGCCGTCATCGCGGGCGCCGAACTTTTCTGTACGCGCGAACCAAGCTGAAGTTGCTCTGGTAGGTATATTTGAACATGGGCCACCCGAATTTGCAACAATATTGGGTCGTTCGATGCTTTTCCCTACACCTATAGGGATCCATGCGCTTCCTTAGCATTTGTGGGCTGGCACGGCCGTCATCGCGGGCGCCGAACAATCCTGTGCGCGCGAACCAAGCTGGAGTTGCTCTGGTAGGTGGATTCGAACATGGGCCACCCGAATTTGCAACAACATTCGGGTCGTTCGATGCTTTTTCCTATGCCTATAGGGATCCATGCACTTCCTTAGCATTTGTGGGCTGGCACGGCCGTCATCGCGGGCGCCGAACTTTTCCGTACGCACGAACCAAGCTGAAGTTGCTCTGGTAGGTATATTTGAACATGGGCCACCCGAATTTGCAACAATGTTCGGGTCGTTCGATGCTTTTCCCTACGCCTATAAGGATCCATGCGCTTCCTTAGCATTTGTGGGCTGGCACGGCCGTCATCGCGGGCGCCGGACTTTTCTGTGCGCGCGAACCAAGCTGAAGCTGCTCTGGTAGGTGGATATGAACATGGGCCACCCGAATTTGCAACAACATTCGGGTCGTTCGATGCTTTTCCCTACGCCTATAGGGATCCATGCGCTTTCTTAGTATTTGTGGGCTGGCACAGCCGCCATCGCGGGCGCCGAACTTTTCTGTGCGCGCGAACCAAGCTGAAGTTTCTCTGGTAGGTGGATTTGAACATGGGCCACCCGAATATGCAACAACATTCGGGTTGTTCGATGCTTTTTGTCAAAGTATATGCATGTTATATCTGTGTAGGCTGTAGTGGGGTAGCCAATATGGGGTACAACCCCGTTTAGGGTTTCATACTTGTACCCAACTCTTCCATAGTGCATTCATTCCTGCTGCTAGATTCTAACATGGTTTCAGAGCACTAGGTCCGTAGGACCGTTTTTTTTTTCGGGCCCACCTACCGTTGCGGTTACCGCGCTACCCCACGTGTTGTCCTGCGCCTGCTTGCCTGCCTGCCTGCCCTGCCTTGTGACGTGCTGCGCTGCGCGCGCCGTCCTGTAGCCCTCGCGCTGCCTCTTGCTGCCCTAGGCCAGCGCGCCGCCCCTGCAGGCCCGTACGGCCCGCGCGCCGCCCCTGCAGGCTCGTAAGGCCCACGCGCCGCCTCTACAGGCCCGTCAGGCCCACGAGCCGCCCCGGCAGGCCCGTCAGGCCCACGAGCCGCCCCCGCAGGCCCGTCAGGCCAGAACGCGGCCCCGCCCTGCCTCTGACGCGGTCGCGCCCAGCCTCTGACGCGGCCGCGCCCTGCCTTCGACGCGGCCGCGCCCTGCCTTCGACGCGGCCGCGCCCTGCAACTGACGCGGCCCCGCCCTGCCTCTGACGCGGCTGCGCCCTGCCTTCAA